CAGACACACTTGCTGACATATGGAAGCTACCAGAGCTGGACCAGCTCCTGATCTTGGCTGCACAACTGAGAATAATTCCTTAACCCACAGGTTTCTGCTGAAGCTCAAGACAAAAACAAAACTGAAGAATCCAGCCCACCGTGCCCTTCTCCTTGTTAGCATAACGCTTGCACATGAAAAGAGGGGGTTCCCCTGGGGACTTTTTCATTTGCATGTATGTATACACAACTTCCACCACCCACTTCTGGCTTGTCCACTTTTATTTTAGATGGCTAAACTGAAATAATGTTATTAATTAGTATTAAGTATATTTCTAACACAGTGAAAATTTACAGTAAAAATTAAATAGTGAGGATATCATTGACTAACTTACTTCTAACACTCCTCCTTACTCTTCACATCTTATTTTTATACCACAGTTCCTCCTTCTTTCACGCACATACCCACCCACAACCTGTTATTGCTTATTTCTATTTCATTCTGTTTCAGCCTCTACAATAACCCCGAATTTAAGATATGACATGAAAGTACACTTTGAAAAGGTAAAAATATGACATTTAAAAGAATAGGGCCATCACTTTCTGAAGTCTTTCATTTCCACTTCTCCACAATTTCCTTCTGGTGCTGTTTCTGAGCTCTTTAGGGAAGTACCAATGACTACTTCTGCATCATAGACTGTTACTAAAATAACTGCTATAGATCTAACCTCTCAGCACCACTGCCTCATGTAGCCTTCACTGTATGTTTTAATTTTGACACTGTAGTCTGTGGAGGCACTTTATAAACGTACATACATGAGCAGAATGTTTTCACATCAGTGACAGACCAAGCTTCCAGACCAAGGCACAGACTAATCCTGAACTGAAGAATAGCAGAAAATACCCAAAGTTTATTATGCAATATAGCAAAAAGCCTTGTTCACTTTAAGTAATTACTTGGTCATTACCACTGTTAGAAATAGTTGATTTTAAATAGTTGAACAGTGGTGATACATTCACTGTTTATACATATTCTCCTCCTACCTGCCTCAGTCAGAGCAAGGCATAACTGGCTTAGCTTCAAGAGGATTTACTGCTTTTAGTATGACATAACATTTCTATCATGATTTATGCTCACGGTAGCGAAGATTATTTATATATGGAATTGATATATAATGGAAAAGATGCAGGGCCTTTTCTGCCTTCTTGCCTAAGACCACCCAGTGAGTCTATAGCAGAAGGATGAGGGAGAAGTACAACTCAGCCCTCTAAACCACACCTCTACCCTTGCTTTTTGTGCAAGCTCAACCTACACTTTCCTCAAAGGTACTAGATCTTTACAGGGTTTGGTTTTTGGGGGACTCTGAAGGGGAGGGCAGGGTGGCTGGGTTTGTTTTGGGGTTTTTTTGAGAGTCAGCATTAAAAAAAAAAATAAGAAATACCATTACATCACAGGAAAGCCCAATTAAAATACTTTAAAAACAAGAGAATCATACTGGAAATATGCCAACCCACATAAACTGCATCATGTCTTCTTAATACACTTAAACAGAAATTACTTTGGTGTCTTTTTTTGGTCCTTTCCTCCTCCTTCTAAGAAGTATCACAGTTCTTTCCAGGAATCTTCAGATCAAATACCTTCAAATCCACAGCTACAGACGCATCAAAAGCTGAGCTACTGAACCCTCTGTCTGACAGCAGGATACTTGGAAATCACAAATACTCCAAACCTTATGTTTCAACAAGGTTACATTGACCTTCTTTCTTTTTAATCCAACATGAGTTGTGCAACAATTTATCCTCCAACCTTTTGGTCATGCTGACACCATATTTAAAAACTAAGGTCAAAGTTGACTAAAGGACAATGAAGGGAAAGAAGACTCCCTACAAGTCTTCATTGCAGAAGAGATTTAAGACTGAGAAAGCTTTTTATTAAGTAGCTGTTGTACTATGTCCTTTCCATGAGCACAACAGTTTCTACAGCCACTGCTATAAAAAGCATTGCAACCTACTATGACTTGCAAAATTAACTCCAATTCAGTTGCTAGGAAGTAGGATGGGAACCAAAAAGGAATGTTGAATATTTAAGTGACGCTGCAAATTTCTTTTTCTAGTTTTAAAACCTCAAGATTAACAAATCCCATTACCATTATTCAGCTCAGTCTGGATACCATCTTCTCTATGGAAGAGTCACAAGACAGTTTCCTCTCCCTATCACACATTACAGCAGGAATTTAAAAATCAGTTAAACTCTTGAATGCAAAACCCTGCAAATTAAAAATTGCCAGACTGAACAGTGGTGCCCACAATATTTTTGGAAGAGTTACACAGAACATTACTATTAGTTCGGAACCTTCCCAAGACACCCCCATTCTCTTCAGATCATGAACTCAGCTCTACTCCTGCCTTGCTACTTTCTCTTTCAAACACACCTCTTTAACAGGACCAGGTTATTTACACTGTTCCCAATGCTTGACCTGAATCAGCCAAGCTCACCTGAGCCCTATAGTATGCACCATGCTATGTCAATATTTGTGCTTTTACTAACTAATAATTAACTCTGGCCACACTGTGACAAAATTGCCAATATTGCCATTAATGCATATAGAAATACTATTAAGGGCCATAGTGGTGTTATATCCAAATAAAGCATACAGAGCAAGATGTTCACCAGAAATGCAGACCTGCAACCACACTGCTACTGAAAGTATGAAAGCTCACACATATGAGCATCCTTAATAGTGGAAAAACATTTCAAAGTAACCCTTATTTTAAAAGCTGGTCCCAGTGCCTTCTGGTGCACTGCTTGCACAAGCAGATCTTACTTTTTTGTGCTACTTTCTAAGAAATTTACTGTTTAGAAGAGGACACTGAGCAAAGCCAGTTCCAAAGGATGAGGAGCTGCTCATAAACTTGAGGAAAGTACCTCATCCAACTGGACCCTAACGTTTCTAGAACAAGTAAAACATCTCTATCACACAAGGCTGCAGAGAAACTTTTTTCATTTGTCTTTAAGGCTCCACGCAATTTTCCCCTTCCCCAAAAGCTAACCGCAAGAACTCTTAATGCTCTTTTTCTGATAATGAAACAATTTCAATGCCAAGTCATGACTACCCCTAGAAAACTTCATTTACCAGAGACACAGTTCCACTTTCATATTCATTTTAAATGAACTTACAGACCCCTCAATTACCTAAAAGCCAGTCAGGGTTTCACCAAAACTCTAAACATGATTCTTTAAAGAAGGACGAGAGAAACAGGAGACTCACAAAGTAAGACTTGTATGCTAAACACACAAACCAGAAGTAACCCATTTACTCCCCCCCTCGACCTTCCTTGGCTAGACTAACTCAATTAGTTTCCCTAAACCGCCACAGACACTTGCCAAGATTAAATATTTGTGTTTAATCATTCAGAAAGTGAAAGATTATGTACTGTAATGTAACACTCTTTACGGAAACCTCTCGTTGAGCAATAGTTCCAGAAAAAAAATTGTGAAATGAAGTAAAAAGCTGTGCGGAACACCACGCTTCCACTCAGTTAATTCAGAAACGTTAAACTTCAGAGCCATGCCCCAAGTTCCGTGCCCATGGCAGGGGGTTGGAACTGGATGATCGTTAAAGTCCCTTCCAACCCAAACCACTCTGTGATTCTGTGATAAGCCGAGACCTCGTTTTTAGCATATCAACATTCTTGGAGGCGGCACAGTTTTAAACGCAGCACGTTTGAAATGACTCCAGAATAACAACCGTGGTTAAGAAGTTATTAAATATTATCATTCCCTGGCCAGCAACTTGTGCTACATGCAGACACCACGACGGAACAAATGTCAGGGCTAATTTTCACCGCCTCGGCCGGCGCGCCGCATGAACCCAGGTACACAGTAACCGAAGGGAAAGTCGCAATGAAAACACGCACAAGGCTGGGTTCTACCTGTGCAATCCCGGCTGACGCAGCGCACGATGAATGGAAATCTGCTCGTTTATTCCCCCGGGGGAGGCACAGCTCGGCCCGCTTCCCCCCGAGCCCGCCGCACGCCCCGGCCCTGCCTTTGTAACATGGCAGGTCAGCGGCACAGCGCAGCCGAGGCGCGGGCAGCTCCCGCCCCGAGAACCGCCTGCCTCCACGGGCCGGGGGTGCGCTCCTCCGGGCCGGCCGTGCCCGCGGCTTCCCGGGAAGCGGAGAAAGTTTTCCCCCACCTCCCACCGCGGCCCAGCGGAAAGTTACCGCCGGCCCTGCACGTCCCGCAGCTCCCGGCCCGGCGCTGACAGCCCCGCCACGGGCACGGTCGCCCCTTCCTCGCCGGCCCAGGCTCGCGATAGCGCCCGCCCCGCGATATCTCCTCAGTGAACCCCCCTCGCCCGCCCCACCGCGGTGACAGCCCGGCTCCCCCGCCGCCCCGCAGCGCTCACCTCAGGCGGGGGCCGCGCTCCCCGGGGACGGGGAACGGCCGCCGGCGCCGCCTATCCCCGGCGCCGAGGAGCGGGAGGGTGAAGGGGGGGAAGCACGCTCGGTCCCCGCGCCCTTATCTCATCCTCGCGGCGCCCGACTCTCCTTCGCCGCCTCCCCGCCGTGTGGGCGTCTCAGGCGGGATCCCCCCTCCCCTCCGCACCGCCTCCTGCCGCCGCCATCTTGGCTGTCACGGGGGGCGGGCACCGGCTCGTGATCGCGGCGGGCAGGGCGCCCGCCGGGCCCTGCTGCTCGGCGGCGGGACGCGGCTCTGCCCCGCCTGTGCCCCTGAGGCGGGCCCGCCAACACCGCGCTGCCCAGCGGCCCCGGACGAGCTCCCCGGCGCCCAGCCCGCTCCGGAGGGCTCCCTTTGACACGGCGGCCCCCGCTTCCCGCCTCCCCCCTCAGGGAGCGGCAGGGCGCCAGCGGCTGTGACCCGTGAGGGGAGAGCGGGAACCCTCAGTGAAACCCTCTCAACACAGCCTAAAATACAAGGCGCGGAGCGTGGGCTCGGCTCTGACACACACACACACACATAAACACACACATAAACATCCCTCCTGTACGTTTAATTTAAACATAAATTAATCTCCGGCCCAAAGAGTCCCGTGTTTCGCTCACCTGCGGCGCCCGTCGCCAGGACGCGGAGGTGGTGCCGGCTGTCTGGAAAACAAGGGAAGAGAAAGCGAGGGATTTTCTGCAGGCTTGATGCAACCCGCGCTGGGTTGTTGCATCAAAGACCTAGAAAGGAACCCGAGACAAAAATAATCTCCTCAGATGAGCGCCGCGTGTCAAGATGCTGCCGAGCGCGACGACATGAGTTCTGCTTGTTCCACATGCAGCACCGTGTGTCCTGGTTCAACCAAGGTCCTGTTTTCGAAGTGATCTTTAGGCTCTGACCATGCAATTTTGGCTTTGAATCCAAGCTTCCCTCAGTTCGGGACGTTTGGCTCTAGAGTCTGCGTGTGGCTTGTCACAATGACAGAAAATTCATACGAAGTTCTGAATTTGGACTTCAAATGTTTATGTTCAAACCTGCTGTATTGGTTTAGGTCATCCCTCTGACAAATCTGATCTATTGGGAGAATACAGAAGCAAAAAGAAGGACTTTTTACAAGGGTAGGTAGTGATAGGACAGGGGTGAAATGGCTGTAAACTGAAAGAGGGGAGATTTAGATGAGATACTAGGCAGCTCTTCTCTGTGAGGGTGCTGAGGCGCTGGCACAGGGTGCCCAGAGAAGCTGTGGCTGCCCCATCCCTGGCAGTGCTCAAGGCCAGGTTGGACACAGGGGCTTGGAGCAAGCTGCTCTAGTGGAAGGTGTCCCTGCCCCTGGCAGGGGTTGGAGCTGGATGAGCTTCAGGTCCCTTCCACCCAAACCAGTCTGGGATTAAAATAAGACCTTTTCCCCCACATGTTTTTATTAATATGACACTTTATAGCAGAAATTCTTCTCCTCCTACCTCCCGTATAAAAAACAGGGGCTGACACGAGCCAGTCTCTGCACAGGCAGAAGCACCCATGTGCAAGCCTGCACATGCAGACACAGCTTTGCGCTGCCAGGTTTGATATTTGTGAGCTGAGTCTGTCTCTTTTTTCTCAACAGGCAGTGTACTGACTGAGGAGTGTGACAAACCCCTATCCCAGGCAGAGGCTGCAAGAACAACACAGCCCATTCCTCCTGTTTCTGAGTAAAACACATTCCTAGCCGCACCCATAAAGACATCTCTCTCAACAATACAGTGGGGTAAGTGAGAAATCAAGAACCCAGAACATCTCTATTTATTTGCAGCAAGCTGGTCTGCATTCAATAGTGAGTCCTTGAATTATTTAGTGTGCTGGTGGAAAAACTTCTAAATCCTTTGACAGTTTCTGGTATATTGTAATCCTGGAAATGTTTTTCAAGTAAATAGCAATACTGAAGTCCCTCTTCTGGCCTATGTTAGTAATTTTGATATGCAAACTATTCTGTGTTCTGGGCCCTTGCTCGTTTTTCATGTAGGCATACTTTTTAGGCTTCAGTGTTAACATCCAAGATTAATGGGTCTGTTCCTACTTCCAAGAGTATTGTTTCAGCTGCCTGCATAGCGAGGTAAAATCACTATGCTGATGTATGAATAGCTCACCTCAGAGAGTTTATGGTTATGGACATTAAAATATTATTGACTGTTTCTAATGGAAACTTTTCATTTTAGAGAAACATAATTCTTAACCATGCTGTGGCAGTTTTCATACTTCTCAGCTCGTGTCATAGGTAAAACTTTGCGTAGACATCTTTGATTTGCTGTTAATTTATAGCCTGGCCTGTTTATTTCCCTCCACAATTTCTGTCCTTCTAGGACTTATCTGCATCTAATTACGTATTGCATCAACGTCAACAAATTGCAGTCAGGGACGCGGATCTCACCATGCAAGGCCTGATACAAACTCCAAACCAAGAAGTTTCTGTCCAGTCCTACCAGCACAGCTGACACAGTGCTTATCTCTGTCCTGTCTTTCCTGTTCTTATGTCTCCCCCTCCTTTTCACCCTGTTCCATCAAGCCTCTTCTGCTTTCTCTCCGTGACCTACCTGCTGCTCACTCTCTCTTGGCTGTGGCACACTTTCTTCCCCACCAGCCCATTTAATTGCAGTGTTCCATTTCATTATTAGCTTGTCACCACCTTTATCAAGTCACCTTTCCTAGCTCAGGCCTAGCCACAAAGCTTTCCTGCATAGCTTGTCATCAATTTTCCACATTAAGGCTTGTCTAAAACCACATGCAAAAGGGTCTATGAAAAATAATGACTCTAGTGCTGTATTTATTTCTGAATAAAAAGCAGCATTGGTGAATAGCCTCTGTACAGGCAGAGACAGATTTCCTGTGTGTCCAGTTCCTGCAGGCTCATTGCACAGAAATCTGTCTATGTGTCAGTCAAACAAAGCCCTTCCCATGGTGAAGACTTTAGGGATTTCTAGGCAGTGGTCTTTACACGCACGTGGAGATCCATCCCAACATCAATGAGGTCAATAGACATCTTCCTATTAATTCTGGTTAGCTTTGGATCAGATTCTTGTTGTGCATAGTAGGTTAATTAAACAAATTAACAACTGCATGGTACTGCAGGTGGGCAGGCATCAAGCATGCTTAATGTGGTATCCTGCTGCCTCTGGAGTGCAGGGTGGAGCACTGTCAGCCAGATTTAGCCTCCCCAGGAGTGTGGCCAGGGAAACGCAAAAGGTTTCTACAGACTTTCAGCCACAGAACCTTTTATTTCCATGTTGCAACCCTAAATTTCTAGCTTGTGGCACTGAAGTAATTTTCAAAGTATGGTTTAGCTTACTTTAAGTGCATTTTACGCATGAGTAGACTCAAGCAAGGCAGAGGACAAGTGGCAGATGGTCAGTGACAAAGACAGGAATGGAATGGAGAATTTCCTTGTCCCAGGACATGGCTTTAACAGACTTTGTCCCAGGATTGTGAGATTTAACTACTTATAATTCATGAGGCTTCAGCAGTGCTGAAGGGGAAAAAAAAAGCAGCTGTCATTGTTCATAGTATTTCCTGGCAAAGACTGGCTTCCATAGGCAAAACTATTTCAGCTTCTTAAGTATGCAATTTGGAGCTTAATCTCTTCACTTTCCTACCAGTTTTATTCCTTTTGAACTTGGCTGTGCCATGTGCACTGCTCATTTACAACTCCAGGGGGGAAGAACAAGTCTCCAAAGGAGCCCATCAGAACACCTTTGAAACAGGCATAGCGTTATCTGTAACCCTGGTAAAAATAACCATAATGATAATGGATAATTATAAACCATGTAACTGGCAAAACAACACACTGCATTTCAGAGGATGAATTGCTTTACCCTGTCCAGTAACCCACTTTACAGTGCAGTAATGGATCTACATTTGGAGGGTTGTGCAATGAAATGGAGCCTTTGGCAAGCTGGAATCACACTGGAAGTGAGGCAACATCTTTGTGGGATTTTTATATATGCATATTTGAAAATCTGGAACTTATCCCTTTTGACATAAAGAGACTGGCTTGGAATGATTAAATTCTAGAACAGATTATGAAATAATAAAGGCAGTATTATGATGCAGCAGTACAACAGTGCAGTTACCCTCCACTTTACTGCTTCAAGTATACTATATCTGAAAAGCTTTCTGCACTCCAGGGGAACTACTGATTATAAATTATAAAAAAGGAATAGAATATCATTCATGTATGAAAGAAAAAGACTTTTCAGACCCTTATTTAGATAAAGAACTTACTGAAGCAGCTAAAAATATGGGGAAATGAAGTGAACACAGGGCCTGATCCAAAGGCCCCTGAACTCAGCAGAAGCACTGCAGGGGGTGTTCATTACGTGTCAGAGTCATATATGTCGTCCTGAATTCCAATTCACAAAATGCAAATAAAGAATGTTATTGTATATGAGTGAGGAGAAGGTCTAATTGCAGTGTCTAGGCATTCCCTGTGGATAAAATGCGCAGATTTTTCTCCAGCAGGTAGACTTTCCCAGCAAGGATTTATTGCCAATATTTATGTGAGAGTTTGTAGTCCCAAAAGCACAAAAATGCTGGGAAACAAAAAGGAAAGAAAATGTATCCAAAGAGAAGACCCAAATGTTTCCAAGTCATTTCCATAAATAAAAATCTGATGCAAGCACATTATCATTTCACTTTTCAGCATTGATTTGCTTCCTCAGGATTTCAGAATGTGCATCTGAGAATTTAGAATGTGCATCACAAAGTTTCCCTCAGCAAACACTAGAACTATGCACAAGGTATTGCAGCAACTATCAAATATCGAATGAGCAGAGACCCAGTAGATGGCCATTGGTATTAACCAGTGAGAAAATGTGCTTTGCTGTGTTGCTGCAGGTAGGAGTATCAAGCAAGTGATGCCAAACCTCTCCTCCTGTTGTTCGTAGGCAAATAAGGATGTTCAGGTGAGGTATATTTCTTGAGTAACTCTTACCATAGACACTGAAAGCTCTGAAACAAATATTTGAAGAAGTGCTTGAGTGCAGAAGAGGTGCTTGAGGATGGTCCAAGTCCTAACCCATGTACCAAAACCAACCTTTTATGCGTTCCAGCATTAACCTGTTTTAAGTATTGCTCTCATCAGTAAAGCAAGATAACAAAAGCTTCTCTTTGGGGAGTAATACCAGGAAGGAAATTATGCATGCAGATTCGCCAGCAAAAATAACAGTCTCAAGCTGTAAATATACACACTGATACTACTGTTTTGTTGCTATTTTCGGCAGCCCTTGTAGCCTCAGGGGTTAGAGTAAGGAAGTAGCTGCTATTGCTGCTGTTTATGCATCAGCTTTAAAGGTTTGATTTGGACTCATGCTCTTTGGCCCATCTGGAGGTGATTTCTGCAAATAGCAGTTTTTTCTCTGACCCAGTCCAATCCATCACTGAGAGTCACACCATGTGATACTGTGGTGCTGTGGGTATCTGCTCTCACATCAGATACAAACCCACCTTCCTTCTCTAGAGAGCTCAGTTCCTTATTGTTTGCACTTTTACTTGTCTTCAATTCATGCCTAGGACAAGTAACTGCATTTCATGTATCTAAACATTCCCCACAGTTTGGTCTGCCTAAGATACTTGAGGCTCTAAACTCTTGCCTAGTCCTGCTGTTTAAAGTTTTTGTATTTTGTTCTAGAGATCACTTATATCTTGATGTGTTAAGTGAAGTGTATCAGTTAATCACTTCTCAGGAGTACTACTAGGCTTAATTAATGTTTGTAGAACACTATTGAGATTCTCAAGAGAAGCAGCTACAGAAGTGCAAAGGATTATAATTAACTTAAAAATACCTCATTTTTGAGTAAATGGCTAACACTTAAACTGAGATTCCCCAAGTAAAACTAATTCGATTCTTAGACAAAAAACTGTGTTTCCATTTACTACTACCACTGTATGATGCATTTTGATTTTTACTGTCCTTCGATGTCCTTTGATGTATCCAGACACATAACATAGCTTGCTTTAGTTCAGGAAACACTGTCCAACATATGTAAGTCAGGTTAAAATCAAAAAAACCACCAAGATAACTAAGTTAATAAACTCAAAGACCATTTGCCTTTAATATATTAATTAATTGAACCATAAAGCCTGTAATTACTATTATGGAATAATTTCCATATTTATTTATAAGGCATCTCATTTACAAAATAGTCATTATCTGGAAATAAACCCAGATCATTAGAATTCAGAAAACTGACAAGCCAGATTGAGATCAGTCAAGATGTACAAAAGAGATTTGCTCCTTGCTTGAAACTCTTCTCAGAGGAAAATCTCTGCTCCTGAACAAGCTTAAACAGGACACCACTTTGGAAACAGAAGCAGTGCTTCATCCACATGACATCTCTGAAACAGAACAGTTACTTTGTAAGGTAAGAAAACATTGGGTCACTCTTCTCATTAACTGTCATGGAGGGTTTCCAAGAAAATGCATTTGCCACATCTGCACTGAAAATGTGACCCAGATTATAGCTGACGTTCTTTTAACAGAGTTTTCTCTGAAACGGCAGCATTTCAAAATACTTTTCAGATACTTCCTTCTTTCAGAATACTTTCTATGCTTTCAGGACTTTCAGTACTTCCAAAATTCTGCATCTAGTCAGAAAACAGAAATGCAGAAAAGAGAAGAAAGAAATGCCACTTCACATTTCTAATTGCAAGCTGGATTCATCACTCCTCAGCTATTAGCTAGACTCACAGGTACTGTCAAAAAGAATGCATCTCAGGCCCTCCTGACAGTGCTTTTGCCATTGAAGATCCAGAGCATTCATTATTAGAAATCTTCTAAGTAGAAATAAACTCACCAGTTTTAAAAAAGCTACAGAATACATTCAAATAAATACTGTGATTGCCCTGTTCACTCAGACCTGTGCCTCTCCTTTGGCAGGGTAAAATACTTCTTTGAATCATAAGTGTAAGCTCACCAGAGTAAGGTGATACACCTCAATCTGCTCTGTTTGGATGACTTTCTTAGTAATTCCTAGAGAATGGAGGTTGGCTCAGGTACTGAGTCATGAGGGTTTCATCTCAGTATATTTTTAGTATCTGATATTTTATCTCGGGTAGTTTTTAAATCTATATCACTGCCCAACTCTTCTCCTAATTATCTGAAATGATTTGCTTCTGTAACTGCTTCAGAACGTCCCCTTATACTACTACAAATGCTGGTCTTTTTATACTCATCTCTCAATTCAGTTAGGTTAGTACCTGTTCAAAATTTGAGCAACTGCTGAGAAACAGAGGCAAAACAAATTCACAACATTAAATCTCATCAGTGAGTCAGCGTGAATATAGGTCAGATCGAGTAACCAAGTTTGAATTTGACCCATAAGGACAGCACAAATCTATCTTCATAAACAGCAATTTTTAAAAACCACAGTCTGACTCAATACAAAAAAGAATACTTCCAGGGTAAATAACGGGATTGGAGGAAATGTCCTTGGCAAGTCAATTTGTTCCATGTTGCTGATGGTTCCTGTTAGTGGCAAGGATTTTTTTTCAAGAAGGAAACAATGGAAAACAGATGCAAAAGCATTTACCAGCAGGCCAGGCAAAGGCAGCTTTTCCAAAATGTCAAGTGTGCAGAGTAGAGTCAATTTAAAAGAGAATTAATTATTTCAACTGAATTAATTTGACTACAATGAAGCCCTGTTAAGACATCTCATCCATCCTGCTTCCTACTGTGCTACCCCTTACAGTCTAAGTCTAAATACTGACCTGTATTTGCAAACACTTCAGCTGAAAAATCCCTTATCCAGTCATAGTACCAATGTGTTGCTTTTAAAACATATTTACTGTATCCCTTCCAGGAAATCACCCACAGAATTGTGCTTACCTCTTCCACATTCCCAGCTCATATGAATTTAATCCCTGGGTTCTGCTTTTTCCTCATTCAGCTTTATACTTCTTGTGGTGTTTTCCCAGATGCTTCAGGTGATTTCCATCACTGCATTCATCAGACCCATCTGATAAATCAGACGCAAATCTGCCCTTTGCATGAAGTCCCTCACATCTTTATTTCCAGCAACTTTCCTGGGTTGCTTCATGCATTGCTTTGTCATTGCTTGTCTTTGGAGAAAGGAAGGTGACTTAATTTTAGGTCTAGAACTCTCATATGGAAGCTCGTTTGCTCAAAAGAATATCCATGTCTACTTCCCCTGGAACCAACAATCCCAAAGTGCTTCATTTCCTTTGAGGACATGGGACTTAACCCTGTAATACAACAGATTATCACCCATGGAAGGACTACCCAAGGAATCACTGTGTCCTCTCTTTGCATTTTCCAGATCAAGACAGATTTGTAATGCTATCAACAATATAAAAGTAGCAATAATGGTTGTCTAGAGCTCTTTTTCCTTGATAGCATTATATGAAATGTGGCAAACACCAGCACTGTCACTCTGAAACCTTTTGTTTCCCGTAGGAGTATCTATAACCATGCCTACCAGTGACAGGCCAAAGCTATCACTTTTGGTTTCCAGTTTCAACATGGGCAGAGGAACCATTCCAAACCCATCCTTTTCTGTCACTATGAAAAACCTGTAGCAAAACCTCCATGCTAGGATTTATGTAAATTCCTTTATTTCTGCTGTTTCATGGAGAAAAAAGAACTCCTCTTTATTGAGGAATAAACTTCATTACCCTGGGTCTTGCATGTCAACTTAAATGCATCAGTGTAAAATTCAGTCTCATTAAAGTAGCTCAAAGCCCTGAATGCTGTTTCAACACTTGCATTTAGTCATTCATATTAAATTTATATTTTATAGGAGCTCATAGTGAATATAAATGAATTAAAAGAACTGAAGTGCGATAAAAAATGTGTAGTGGAAGTGAATTTTAAATTGGCAGTTAAGAACTCTCTCCTGTAGCATATTCAAGTCCTCGGAGGAATACAGTTAGTTGAGATGTACCCCTCCTTATTTCACGGTGTACTAGAAGCAACATGCAAAATGCAAACATGTTGAGGCCAAACTAACATCTTCACTCTGCCTATTATCCAAAGGGATGTGGACTGAAGTTGGTGAAGAATTTCACCACAGAAATGTAACCCAAGAGATGCTAATTCACTTCTTAAATGTTTTTTAAACTAAAGACTACAGCTAACATCAATCACAGCATGTAACTCCTGTTCAGTTGCTGTAACATGAAAGCATTGCATGAACTCCTCTCCAGCAACAGTCCCAGCCCAAAAGGCAGGTCAATCTGGAAAGGATCCTATGGAAGGTCCAACAATTTATTAATGACATTTGATCTTTAGAGAGCTGCAGTAATGTAGTATTTCTTACATGATTTTGAGCGCTGTCATGTTCTTGTCGTGCAAGGGGAATGACTAATGTACATATGGAAAAATTTAAGGGAGTTCTTAGAAACCATAATATTTTGCTTGATCATTCATAACCGAATACTTAAAGAACTATCCACCGTATCGCTGTTGCGCAGCTTGTATTAGATCTCCATAGTTACACTTGGCATAACAAGTACAAAAACGAAGTGTCTTTGCAGGGTTGATAAGCAGACAGGAAGCAAAAGAACATCTGCTACAGCTTTAGATGGTTTTGCTGTCAGCAACTGCTGAAAAACTTCAGGCTCTGCATTCCATGTACTCCTTGTTTGGCCTTTGACACTAGCAGCTGTTGAACAGGAGATGTAAAATGTTGTACCTACAGAAAAGGAGGTGCTGCATTTTCTAGAGGATTATTGGGGTATTTAATGGGTTTTTTCCTTTCTGTTTTCTGATCTAGAAAATGCTGGATAACAGACACTGCAGATGGAGTTATCTCCTGAAGGTCAACCACTTCCTATTTCACAGTTATTTTTTTCTAACGTTCTGTTTTCCTTTCCAAAACTGCTTTGTCTTGTTTTGTTTTGCTTTGTTCTCTTTTAAACACCAAAAACAATTGCACTATATACTGAATAGTAATTATAATCATTGTAAGGAAACCATGTGCTTCCCTGAATCAGGGCTGGGGCTTCCAGTCCAGGCAATCTATCTTCTTGTAGCATAACAGCATTTCTATAGCAAGGACAGCCACAGAACAAGTTATACAAAATAAATATCAAACAATTTAGAGCAAACTATTTTGTTGTTTAAAGAAAGAGCTGTAGAACATGATGTTTTAAAAACGAGCTCAGCCATGAAGTGCAGGTTCACTGCTTGTGTATGTGGAGAAACTCTGCTTCAGGTAGTTGAGCAGTTCTCCACCTACATACTATTTATATTTGCATAGAAAACTACTAACAGAGAACAACTGACGGCAGCATATTTCTTAGCGTACTAAGGCCCATGTACTGTAATGCATCTTTACGTACTTCCTCTGAGACTGTAAGTTTGCCTAGGAAGTTACAACAGTTGTGATGAAATCCAAGCGGATTTATCCTTATATGGTAGATCTTTTGGGTCTGACACAATGAAATGAAAATGGGTTTCGGGTAACTGTGAGAAAGATGAAGACACTACTTTAGAGTAATATAAGAGACTGAGAAGATAATTTTGCCCAGAGATTCTGCGTTTTGTGCTTTGGGGTTGTATGCAGTTTTTTATACATTCCAGTATATACACGCAGTAGTGAGACAATATGACCTTTGAAGGTCCCTTCTAACCCAAACTATGATTCTGTTCTATGATTCTATTCATGACTAATCATAACCGAGAATGTCTTTTAAGCCTGCTGGAGTTCTTGATCAATCCAAGCTCCATAAAGTGTGCTGTGTTCCAAACATCTTGCACATCTTGCTCACTGCACAGCTGGCTACTGAGAAAAATCTTGTCCCAGAAGGTTTGCTCAAGCTCACAAAACACATTTTTAACAACCCAAAGGTGTGCTTACTCACAGAGCTGACAATGCAGCCTCTCTGACAGCAGCTTTCCAGAGAAAGGAGCAGGAAAGAGGCAATGGGTGATGAGATTATCCCCCATGGAAGGAGACTCCTGCTTGGAATATCACCACATCTTTCCAGACTCTCTCATTGTGACTGTTTGTGCTTTCATCAAATTTTCAGTTTGCTTCTTCAGCTACAGGACCAGATGGCTCCCATGCACAATGCACTGAATCATGGCAAGGCTTGAGGTATTTGCTGTGTGCAACAGTAGACACATGCGCTGGACCAGGTTAAACTCTTTCACAGTTAGCAGATGGTGCATACTGCATATGGATGGTACTACAGCAGGTAGCTATATATACATACCGTCAGAATATGGAAGTATCTTTTCTTCTTGCAGGTTGTCAGGAAAATGACTGTCATACCTTCAACACAAGAACTAGAGGCAGTGCAGTAACACATGGCACAGGACAGATGCTAGGCACTTCCCGTGATGCACAATGCCTGATGGCAAGGAATCCTGGTGGGCCAAGGACAGGAGGCTCTTGTTCCCCCTCTGATTTCCCCTTACAGCTTTAGATTAAACTGGTGCTGACACCTTGCCCAGTGCCCATTTGCCCAGCCAATAGCTGTGGGCAGTACTTCTGGCCATGAAGCACCTCCTGAGAAACGAAATAACCTCGCTGTTTGAGAGCATCTTTGCCTCTGGCATTTTTTAAATAGAAAACAACCCTGATTTTCTCCTCACTTGCCTCACATAATCTCAAGATATAACACCCCTATGAAGCTAGAGTGAACAGGAGGGGTTTGCAAATGCAACAAAAGGCTATAGGGTTTATACAGGATGTGATTTATGCTTCAGTGACAAGACCATAAAAATCACCCTGTAGTCACCTCTCACTGATGCATGACTCATTTTGGAGCACTGACACTGGAATACCTAAAGATGCTTTTTAGACACCCAGGAGATGACTGTTTCAGAGAATTCCAGGCTGCTGTGCTAGGACTGAGCACAAGGAACAAATCCCAAGGCAGTCGAAGGATGTCCCAAATAGCACAACTCGATACGATGTGTGTGCTCCGGGTTGCATAATGAAGGAACAGCCAAGCAGCTGGCCACTTCCCAATGGCCACACTCCACCCCAGATACTTTCTGGGATGAGAAAAGTATCCTTTGGCTATTTTTCAGCCTGCTTTTCTTAGCATGTATTTGACACATCCTCTGTGTTGAGAACGACAGGACACCTCGTGAGCCGGTGCTGTGCTGGCCTTTGCAAACAGGCGCAAGAGCTGGCAAGCAGCAGAAACCCATCAGGAACTGGAACAGTGACCAGGAATGTCAAAACTGCAGCCTGTGCAGCGTGGCTGTGATGAAGGTTAACGTGTGTTGCCACCACCTTTGAGGTCAGCATCAGGCTCACTTTAGCAGTCCTATAAATAGATGTTCAAGTTTGACTGAGAAGACGATTTGGCTCTGATGGATCTTGTTTAGCATTCCCAAGAGAGGAAGGCAGATTCTTTTCTTTTTTCTCTTCCTGCCTCTAACCTTGAGTTGGTTTCTGTGGGAAACATTAGTGGCATTTGCCGAAAGAACTGCCACTGTGAGCCAGATGTCCTGCTGCGTCACGCAAGCCATACATACATGTTTCTTCAACCTGCAAACCCAGACCTAATTCCCGCAAAGATTCACACTAATTCCTCACTGGCAAAACTAGGGAAAAGCCCAAACCCTGAGTCGAATTGCTTGAAAACAGTAGGACACCTAGTGGATTTATAGGGAATATCTTTAGGATTATGAGCAACATTTTGTTACTTTCTTGGCAGAACCAACAATGAATATATTTATAGAGGAATCACTGAAATATCAGGGTTTCTATTTAATAAATTAATCTTGTTATAGTTGGTACAGCCACCAGTTTGCCTGAAGGACTTATTGCACCCTATGAAAAAACAATGAGTATTGTTTGAAAGACTTGAAAACAAATAATTCTGGGGAACTGGATGGTTCCCAATGTCTGGGAACAGGACAAAGGGTATTCTGCCAGATCAAAGCCATTCCAGTTGTTCCATCTGACAGCTCTTTAATGATCTTAATGAGCAAATTTTTATAGTCTCAGCCTGACTCCCTGGAGGATTGTACAGCTTCACATCAAGCATCACCATGCTGAGCACAGCCAGCCCCTCCGCTGGATATCTGAGAAATGAATGAATTGGCCTCAGAATTCAGACTGCCTTCTTCATTCCCCAGGGCTGATCTTGTGAATTCAAATTAGAAGATGATGGGATGAGCGATGCTTGCACTGCTGTTGTTGACATTGGTTTTGTCTGGTAGCGATACCAGTATCAAGCAGATTTTGACCCTAGATTGGAAGTAAAACCCTGTGTCAGGGTGTGGTAAGAGGAAGAAGATTTTGAGCCGTGTCTCAGAAATTATGTATCTTGGCCAGCACTTATCCTGGAGCTGCCAGTATTATCTTGCTAATATGTCTCTGGAGGCAGCAGACACAGACAAGGAGATGTGTGTTGAGTTCAAAATGGATGCAGGAAACTGATGACTTCATTTTGACAGTCATTGCAAGAATCACCAAGTCATCAAGTCTGTTATATTTGATTCCTGTTCCCAAAGCTTGCTGAAAACTTTCCTTCCTTTCTGCTGACCATAATACTGTCCTAGAGAAAAAATGTCTCCAGAGGATAGTTAATTTTGCTGGAGCTGCTCCCTTCCCACTCTTCCTTCAGTGCTGCAGAGATCCCTAGAGAACAGCAAAACTGGGATGAGATTTGATTTTGGCTAGATCCCCATTCAGAGCCAGGTCCTTTTTGATTCCAACTCCAGGGTTAGGAAAGAAAAGGTTGATAGAGAAAATAAGTTTAATTGGGTCCATTCCTTCTTATATATTCTTTTCTTTTTAGAGCTGTAGAAAAATAATATAGCGGATGCTGGAATCCAAGTGAGTTATCAACAGAAAAATTCCTATCAACTGTGTGCATTTGCATTACTCCTACCTCTGGTTGGAATTGCCTGAAAAGAAAAACTCCCTGTACATCATAGGCTCTTTAATTTGGTCCAGGGTTTGGGCTTTTTTTGCATCAGTGGATGGATTTTATACTTGAAGGGGTTTTTCTTCTGAGTGACATGTCAAACTGGAGGTAGCGAGTGCTATGCTTTTCTCCAATTTAGCAGCTGGATCGGAAAGCTTGAATTATCTCTACGTAATTGCAATGATTCATGGATTGTTAGAAAATTGCAAAGTATTGATTGGATTTCCCCCTGAGGGTATATTTCTCCTCTGATAAAGTAGGTTCTGGGGCTTCACATTTGTCCTTTCTGCCTTTTGCCCCCGGGGAAGCCAGTGGCTCCTTTCATCTGGGAAACAGGAATTTGGGTCAACAGCCACTCAAGGACAATTTTGAGTTATTGTGATTGCCAGTTCCTAATCTTTCCCTGAGTTTTGAAAGGTGATGGGCTTTGCAAAGAGTGAACAGGGATTTCAGAGCCAAAAAAGCAGGAGCCAGCAGCAAATACTGCCCATCCCTGGTTTACATGCTTCTATTTCCGTGTCAAATGCCACTGGTGTGTTCTGGAAAGAGACCCTGACCTTGTTGTGGGAATGCTACAGCCATCAAGGATGGTGGCACATTTCCCCCTTTATTAGGCTGGGATTTCCCTTGGGGTCTCAGGAGTTGGTGGCAGGAGAGAAAGGGGAGAATAAAGTGAGAATCAGGCAGAGGGAGAGCCTGATGCACAGCCCCTGGGGCTGAGCAGTGTGGAGCTGATAGCCCTGACACACATCTGCACACTAATGGTGCTGCTGAGGCAGAAACTGGGACCTTCTTGGCAGCTGCTCTATGAATTTCCAGAACAGACCCATAAATATGCAGTTATGAGTGTGACCTCTGCTTCTTTTCTTCGCTAAATTGAACATCCAAGGACCAGCTGAGTATCATTCCTTCTCTCTGCTCCAGTTGCTTGGAATGTGCTGCCTCCATGAATGGCTGTCTAACTACAAACTGAGGAATTACAAGAGAGTGCTAATTCAAGGTCTGCAATGAATTTAGTGTTCCTGCAAGGATGACAGTAATGGCAATTAATGCAGCAGAAATGCCAGTGCTGAATGATGCTTCTCGCATTAAAAGCTGCCAGTCGAAGAGCACACAGCCCTCTGTTATTTCAGGCCTGACCTCTGCTTTTTGGTCGTGTTTCATACACATGGCAGGGGTCCCAGGCCATCCCATAATCACAGCAGCACACTCCAGGAGGGGACACAAAGAACAGAGCTGCCAAAATCAGTCTGCCCTGACAGTGACATTTCCTTATGGTTTGCATATTCTCATCTGGGGCTTGCTAGAACAGGAGCAAAATTAACCCAGGACTGAACAAAATATAAAATATAAAATATAGAATCATAGAATCACAGAGTGGTTTAGGATGGAAAGGACCTTAAAGCTCATCCACTTCCAATCCCCCTGGCATGGGTAGGGACACCTTCCACTAGAGCAGCTTGCTCCAAGCCCCTGTGTCCAACCTGGCCTTGAACACTGCCAGGGATGGGGCAGCCACAGCTTCTCTGGGCACCCTGTGCCAGTGCCTCAGCACCCTCACAAGGAAGAGCTTCTGCCTAAGAGCTCATCTCATCTCAGGTTAAAGCCATTCCCCCTTGGCCTGTCCCTACAGGCCCTTGTAAAAAGCCCCTCTTCAGATTTCTTTTAGGCTCCTTTATGTATTGGAAGCCTGTTATAAGCTCCCTGCTAGTCCAACACTACTCGCATGTCCTGCTGCCTGTTGATTCTTGTTTAGATGCAAAATTCTTTCTGCTGTTTCAGTTTTCACCATGAAGAACCTGATTATAAACAATCAAATGTGTTCAAACAGGCTTAGCTAGAAATAACCCCTGCTGCTGCTGCTCATCTGTGTGCCAACCTGCAGAAATATTTTGTTATGATGTATGCTTGGTAAAAATGTCTCTGCTTTGTGATGTCTTAAGTCCAACAAGTGTTAGTGGTAGGCAATGTAGGGACCTTGATTTTTAGTTCAGCCAGAAAAGCCTCTGTCCTCACTTTATGCCCTAAAGTCTTGCGTAGGACAAGCCAGTTCCAGATGAAGAACAATTTGGTGCAAGAGGAAGTAACACACACATGAAAAATACGAATAACGGGGGTTTTCAAGCTCACAAAAAAATCCAGCCCCCAAAAGGGGTGAACAGCTCTTTCAGAAGAATAACCAAAAATACTTTGCCTGGGTTATTTTAATATTTTTTAGCACTAACAGGAATTCTGGAGGATGAAACCAGGCCTCAGAAACATTAAGTGAAAATTAATAGCTTCTTAACAACAAAGCTCAATGGAGAACTGGAAATGGGATGCAAGACGGACACCTTAACTACAGAGTTACAAATACACCCCAGCCTCTACACATACACTGTCCATTCTCAATTTTAATGCCCTACTCAATGCAGAAGGATTGAGAAGGGGAGCAGGATGAGCATTTTCAGACTCAAGATTTTGGGTGCTCTGGGCTCATCTGGGGATAAAAAGGATGAACCCAAAGATGACGCAGACTCCTACCCATCTCGCTGCTACACTGGGAAGTTTCTGCTCCTGCAAAGTCTGTCCTTGCAATGACCCTAGGGAACCGGCACATGCAGTTATTCCCATGGGACACATGGAACAGGGTCCTGGGGATATGACGCCCTGAGCGCTCAGTGGGTTTTGTGCACCTGCGAGAAGCTGGAGGTGCACAATCTGCCTGGGCACACCAAAGGCTGGTGGCAGGACATGAGCCTAAACCTTGATGCTCCAACCTCACCTCTGTGCTCCTGTGCTGTGACATCACATGTCTTCTAGTGCTTTGTTTTCCCCGCTCAGAAGCTCCGAGGCAGCGTGAACTATGTGTTTCTAAGCGCAGAGGATCACGTTATAGCCTGTTATCACTCTGGCAGATGGTAACTGATGCACAGTGCTGCTGCTGGAGCTTGGGGGCTGCTTTCCATGCACAGGAACGATAAAACAGACACTGACTGCAGAGATGGTGAACATACTGCTGCTGCTGCTGATGGCAAGCTGGTGGAAAAAGAGATGTTTTATGGGCTGGACACAAGCACTATTTTTATCCTCTTCTATTTACATCTCAAGCCTGTGCCAAGGGAAGCTGATGACAAAGGTGGTGTCTCCCACAGCACAGGGGCAGATGAGGGGAACTGCCTTTGGGGAAGGGAGAATAGGGGTGGCAGCAGTGTGATGGTGGGGAGAGGGCCTGCACTTGTAGCCCCTTTGCACTTTATGAGCTGGAAGAATCCCAGGTTGGAAGGGACCTCAAAGATCATCTGGTCCATTTTGCTAGGCAAAGCATGACCTAGACTAGATGTCCAGCCAAACCTTAAAAGTATCCAGCATTGTGGAAGCCACCACTTACCTGGGGAGATTATTCCAGAGGCTGATTGTTCTCATTGTGAAAATTGCTCAGTGGCATCTCCAGCACCTCCGCCTCAAGCTCCATAGGCTTAGCACGACCCTCTCAGCCCAGTTCCTAGGATGGATCTGCCCGACCGGGAGGCTCCCACCAACGTGCCCCAAGCTGCACCGCGGCTGTGGGCAGCTGCATGGAACCACCACCCACCTGTGCAGGCGGAAGGGAACCCATGGTGGGGCTGGGGACAGGGCTGGTGAGAGCCAAGCAAAAGCAGAGGCGAGGCGCGGTTTTTGTACCTGTGGTGGCAGGAGCCCCTGGAGCGAGGGAGTGCGTCCGGTCGTAATGGGGGCAGAAGAATCCAAAAACAGACGAACGAAAACGATTAGGTTCCACCGAGATTTGAACTCGGATCGCTGGATTCAGAGTCCAGAGTGCTAACCATTACACCATGGAACCGCTCTGCCAGCACCTCTTCCGGACCGCCACTAATCCCTTCGCAGCACCTCTGCCGCAGCCAGCTCGCCCATGGGGCTGTGACCCCCGGGTGCGGGAGCCCTTTGGGGTCCGCAAGGCCACCGGAGCGTGTGTGGGCCCCGTTACCCGCAGCGCGGCCCGTTTAAGGCCGGGGTGGGCGGGACAGCGGCTCTACCCCCTCTCTTCCCCCCCCCGGAAGCGGTTTGGCTCCGGCGCCGCGTTGCCCCGGAACCACCTGCCTAGGGAGGGCGGGCAGAGCGCGGGGGGGGCGGAAGCGTTGCGGCGGCTGCAGGGAGGGTCCGGCTCCCGCTCCCGCTCGCAGGTCTCGGCTCGGCCGCGCTCCGCACCATGGGCACCCGCGATGACGAGTACGATTATCTCTTCAAAGGTAACGGCCGCCCCGCCCTGCCCCTTCCCGGTGCCAGCCGGAGGGGTCACCTTCCGGAGGGGGTCCCGGCCTTGCCGGGCGGCGGGGAGCGGCCTCCTCACGGCGCGACCTTCCCTCCGGTGTGGGTGCGGTTGGGAGCCTCGCCCGCCGCTTCAGCCGGGCCCTGCCCCTGCCCCTGCCTGCGGGGAGCGGGCCCCGGTTGCTGTTTGCTGAAGCCGGGGAAAGACCCCTGGCAGCGCCGCTTCGGCCTTGCCAGAGCGAGGCGGGGGCTGCGGTTCCGCGGGCATCAGCGGGCACTGAGGGGGTGTTTGTGGAGCTCGGTCGCGGAGAGCGCTCGGCCCGGGAGTGTCAGATTCGGGCAGGTTTTCCTCGCCCTGATCTGCCTTGTCCAAAGGTTCTGCTTTGTGACAGGCCGAGGCGATGCCAGCCTGCTGGGGTGGCGAGCACAGAGCGTTTGTGAGGGTTCGGAAGGCCTAATTCCGTCTCCAGCTGTTAAACAGGGCTGTAAAGGGAGTTATGTGCTCAGCGCTGGGAGATGATGCAGCTAATTTATTAAAGTAGCGTTATTCGCTGCTTGCTGTGTTCCAAGCCCTGTGCGAGGGGTGGATGTAACTGCTGTTTCACACCCAGCGATGCTGCATCCTATCCTAGGTGCCCAGCAGAGAGGGGCAAGGATTCCTTGTTTTCCAGGGCTGATGCTCCTCCAGCCTGCATCCAGCTGGGTTAAAGTGTTGCAGGTTGTAGTTAAGTACTCAGGTCTCACTCCTTGCAGAGTAAAATGCCAGGCTGCCATGCAGGTTCCTAAAGCATGCTGTGAAACGTGTATGGAACAGCTGATGTTTTGAAGTTGACTGTCCAGTTTTGGAAACCCTACCACAAAAGCAAGCAAATTATTGCAAAAAAGGGTGGTTTGTTCTATGGTATTGTTATATATTTGAATTTAGGACTTAAAGTATTGCTCATTACATTGCAGTAGTGAGAGACTCCGTGGTTGTCATTGTGCAAACAATGTAAAGGAAGCATCCGTGGTTTTTTTTTCTGTACTTCAACTCCTGTAATAAGTTTGAGGAATTAATTGTTTCTTTTTGCCTCTTTCATCCAATTGCCATGTGGAAGGTGGCGTTATTCCTAACTATAAATCAGTCATCTGTACTGCTGTTAAAACCAAATCAGGAAGTACCAAGGGTTGAGCTTTTCAGCTTGCAGCATTGGCAAGGGCCTTGCTGACCCCTAGTTTACTCACATTGAGCAATCTTACTGTAGGTACTTATGAGTTATCATAACCATTACAGCACTTTTACTGGTTCATACCATTCTGTCAGGATGTTTATAATTAATGCTTTGGCAGTCAAGGCCTGGGAATGTTGGTGATGCAGTTTGTTGGGAAAGGTCCTAGCTTTTATTAGACCTGCTTCCTTATATAATTGGGAAATAATACAGTTGGGATCCAGTTTTATAGAAGCATTCAAAGCTAGTTTAATAAATTGCCCCTTCTAAAGCTTTTTCTGCTTAAAGTAGTTTATACAAGCTTTCGGGAGCACAAAGAATGCTGTGAAAACGGTGGCGTGAAGATGAGGGATTTGGGTTTTGCAAAGCTAAAGCAGACTGCAGGAAGTTGATGCAATGTCACATCACTGGGATTAATGGGACAGCTGAAATAACACAACTGCAGAATAATACAAGTCCTGGAAACTTTTGTAACTTCCCAGAGGTTCTAAACAAGCTGTCAGCACTCCTGAATGCTGTTGAAATTATTGCGAGTAGGTCTCTGAAATGAATGTCCCCTCAGCCAGGCTCTGGTCAAAAAGGCGAGAGGTAGGTGAAAACTCTTGGAAAAGGAAATGAGAACTCAAGGTAATGAATAATTATTAAGCTTGTGTTTGAATCTCAGGCACGAACATCGTGGGGATGGAGGGGAAATGTAGGCAGGATAGGCATATCCATTTTGAACGGGATATTGTAGGTTTAAAAGATGGAGAAGGGAATCAGAATAATATTGTGATAAATGATAAGGTGCTACAACTTTATAAAAATTAAAACGGTGAGTGATTAGGGCAAATAGGGGAAAAGTCTATTGTTTGTCATAATTTCCATGGGTGTCTGTAATGCTGCTTTTACTGAGCAGCAGGCAAAACCAAAAGGACATAAATTCTTACAGATGTATATACAAATTCTGGAGAGGTGCATTGCAATAAATTCTGTAAATGGGTTTGAAAGACTGCACAAGTTTAGAGAGGAAGAAAAATGGCTGTTGGGGTGTTTCAGTGTGATGGATAGAGTGGCAATTCTGAAGGTATTGAGTGTTTCCAGATGCAAGGGCCTCCATCTGGACAGATGCAAAGATTAACCTGTTGTTACACTTAATATTTCTCAGACATCAGTTCTTGACAGTCAGATGGGGTGTTGGTCTGTAAGGACGTTAAATCCAGTAGGACAGTTCTTCTGGGTTTATGAACTCGAAGGGACATTGTAGGTTGGTGGGACTGAGTTCAGAACCTGCCTTGATTTAAAGTAATTGGGTGATATTTTCTAGTCTAGCTGTCCCTTACTACTCTCAAGTTGAACTGCCATGTGTCTGTTTAGGTGAGAGCTTTGGTTTTGTCCTGACAGCAGCCGTGTGTCAAAATCTGTCTGACTGCTGGTGGGTGTAAGCTGAGCCCACCTTTGCTGCTGTATGATAAAATCACAGCTCCTGTTACAAAATACCCCTCTCCTGACTCTGTTGCCACACTTCAGCATATGCTCAAGCCTGTGCCTAGCTTGTAAAAAGACAATTCCTGGTAAATTATTCTTGTCTAGCTACACGTCTTTGTATTCTTCCATACTTTGGGGGTTTACCTGAGAGCAGTGCCCACTGTTCCCAGCAGTGCACTTGAGGAAATACAAGACCTGTGAAGTCCAGTTTGAGGAAACATAAGGATTTTACATTATTACATAATAAATTAAGCCTGGCTTAAATGCAGGAACTTTGTACACTTTTTGATTTCTATACTTGCAGTAGAGAGTAGTTATTGTAGTAACTGTCACTTGTAGAAGGTATCTTGTGTTTCCTATAGACAAAGCCTAAGAGGGTTATGTCTGCACCTTGATCCCAGGTCCAGAGTTCCAGATGGTCAGACTTCTCATTTCTGAATGCAGACCTGACTTGTGGTGACATTCAGCTTATTGTTAGGGAAAGCTCCAGTGTCAGCTGTCTGCTTCCTATTTTGCATCATGTTAATTTCTCCAGCTTTTCCCTTTGAGATTGAGGAAATGCTTTGAAACGGAACTTGTTGGTTTGGGATTTTGAAATCCTTTTAATGTGTTTTGTTTAGAGAAATTTGTGGGAGAAAGTGCTTGCAAGGCACCTATTGGCTTTTACAATGGTAGCAAGCCTTTTGCTCCCACTTTTCTGCTATAATAAACCTCTCAGCTTGGCCATTTTACTACAGAGGTATTTGCAGGCCCAGTTTTGTGTTATGTATAGCCTGTACAGGTAACAAACAACCCCTACCCCAAAGTGACTTTGAGATGCTAGTTCCCTCTATGACAAGGAAAACAGGGGAACACAGGTGAGGAGGGAGATTAATGGTTTATCACCAGCTACCTGCAAGGTGCAGAACCAGGTCATCTTACTCACATTTCCTTTAAACTCCAACTGAAGTGGGCAGGAGGAAATGTTCATCAGCAGATTCTTCATGGAGATGTGTCCAGGCTCTTAATTAATACGTGTTTTAATAGCAGAGCTCAGCACAGAGACAAGCGGTTTTAGGCATTTAATTCCCTAGCACTTATGCACTTGTTTTAAATTGGGTAATATATGACTTGTATAATAACTTTTACCAATGATGATACAAGCTAGTGACAGTGGACTTTCTATTTTCAACCTGATTAGGTTGGAAGTAACGTATTTCATGGGATAATTAAAGTATTTTCTGAAAATATCAAGTAAGTTGGAGGTTTAACAGAAATTAAAATGGGGTGAGTGAGCTGGAGTGTTGGTGAAAAATCAATCATCCATTCTTGATGTAGTTATCAATGGCTTTTCAGGGAAGTTAGGAAATTGAGTTCTTATTTTGGTCTTCTACAGAAATAAATCTGGAATTACAGAAGGAAATTCATACAGTAGCGTGGACTCCTCATACTCTTATTCTTCTCTTTCTCTCTACCAAATCCTTGTCTTAAACGTTTGGGGTGGTGAATGCTATAGATAGTCAAATGCATCAATTTGAAGAACATGGGCCAGTTCAATACTTGCAAGCATCACTAAACCAATAGGAATTAACTGCCTGGTAGTAGTCTCTCAGGGCAGGGAGATCACTTTCATCACTTTCAGGATGTGCCAGTGCAAATCTCTGCAAAGCTTTCTAAGGTGCTTCTTCTGTAAGGGAGGTGCTGGTCCAAAAGCAGGTTACTGATGGAAGCTTTCAAGGCTGTGTCTTGTGGCTGAACTCGCTTAAATATTTCCCCTGGACCTTCTTCCTCTGGTGATGTAGTGAAGGATTTTGCTGACGATGGTACAGGAGAAGGAAGGTTGGAGCACAGTCCTGGAGGGGCCTGTGTGCTGATGACGACTGCGATCCTCCAAATGACGTGGGGCTCAGGATGTAAAGCTTTTCTGCCTGGGGATTTACTGGAGTTTGGTAAAGTAGACATTTGCCAACTTAAAGCTAGAACAGTTAGCTCTGATCACAGGGAGACTGAGCCATCAAGGTGATATGGTCAGGAAAAGGTAATTCCAGATCCAGGTATACCTATTAGAGATGCAAATATGAAAATCCCTGTATACATTACACTTAAAATGATGTGTGCAGTTCTTCTCACTGTGTGAAAAAGAAACTGAAAAACATGGAGGGTAAATGTTTTGGGAAACGGCCAGTCTGTTTAGAAGGAATCATTTGAGAAGTTGGCTTATTTAGCTCATAGAGCAAAGCCCAGAGATGTGGCTGCTTTCTGTAAATACCCCAGCATAAACACCGTAGGGAGAAGGAACTAATAAGCTAATGGACAATGCTGGCACGTGAACAGCGCCATGAGCTGACCGCTAATTTCTGCTGAAAATCAGGAGGCAATTTCTAACCATTAGGAGTGGAAGAAAAGCCCAATAAAAGTGTGCGTGCAGAACAATTAGCTTTAATCTGGAACTAGATAACATCATTTCCCTCCCAGAAACTGGGTGCCTGGCATAGTTAGGCTGGGACTCAGACATCCAGGATCATTGCTACGGTGTTTCTATGCTAAGAATATAATGCATGGGAATATTGTATAGTATAAATTATCAAAATGAGGTGGTTTGATAAGGAAAGTAAGATTAAAATTAATAATACAGTCTGAGTGATTGTTAAGCTGTGATCCTTGCTCAGACTGGCAGGAGGTTTGGGTACCTGCTGACATTGCAAACTGTTCTTGTCTCTGTTCAAGAGGAACCGCAGTGGCCCAATTAACTAGAGGAAATAGCTGACTCCAAAGAGGAAAGTCTAATACTTTCCCCTTTTAATTGGGGACATATTAATCTGGTGCTGGAAACCATTGAGAACATAAGCAGCGTGGCATTCAGACAAGGTAAGGAAAAAAGAGGAATCAAAATAATCTATTGTTAAATCTGAAATATACACTGAACAACAAAAATATGTTTGAGGGGAATACTTAACAGATATATGATGCTTCCTGTTGGGAAAAGGAGATTATATATGTAGGTTGCTTTTCTTGTTCAGAGAAGTTTCTGGCTGCTGTCAAAACTAATGCTGGTGATAGCAGGACTGAGGTATGCAAAGGGAGTTGATAACTTTTGCCTCTAAGGAACTTGCTGTTTGTAACACCTCCCAGTGAATATAAATATGATGTTGCCTAAACCTGCCAAAATAGTCTAGGAGAACTTACTTGTCAAGGAAAGAGGAAAGCAGTGGCAGTTTGCCAGGTGGGGATGATGCAGTGAGATGCCTTGTCCCTGCACTAAGTTTATTACTGTGCCAGCAAAGCTGTTCAGCTCTGTGAGGGCAACCGACACCGAACAGTGCTGACCTGTCATGTAGGACAGCAGAATCCTATTTGCCTTCAGCATACCTGCTTGCCACTTACCTGCACTTGTGATCTTCATAAACAGAAGTGGTTAGCAGAGCCACTCGGGGCTTTATGCAACCTCTGTATCTTGGCCGGCTGTGTGCTGAGTCAGCTGGCAGAGGAAGCCGGGAAGATCTTTATTGTGATGAAGTGTTCGCCACAAGGCCATGTTTGAAGCGAGCATTTGCTGCAATTTTCATTTTAGAGAGGGTGTTTAAAAGGTTCTGCTCTGCCCTTGCAGTCAGAGAACAGCCCATTTGCCAGTATTGGTCTGCATTATTTAAACACAAGATGCTGTTTGAGGGCTGCTGTGTGGCACAGCAGCAGATGGGAGTATTTGCACTGCTAGACTAAAGCTCTGTGGGGAGGTTTCTCAGGTGATTGGAGTGTGGTTGGGGCACTCATTTCTCTGTTGTACCACACAATCTTTAGCACTGTGTTGCAGTGATTTAACTGCTAAATGATGGGTGTTATGGAGCAAGTATTCCTGTTGTTTTTTTCCAGACTAGCATAGCCACAACATTTTTTTCCTGTCAGCTGGATGAGCACTTGTTTGCTTGGACTGGTGTTGAATCACTGCTGAATTTAAGTTAATCAGCCTATCTTCTCAAGGATTTTACTTGTCCTTTTATTACCTTCCATTACTGGTTTGCTTACCTTATCTTTAAGGGCATGAGATCATCCAGAGAGGCTCCTGCAGGTGTGACTCAGGGTTGTGAATGTGTTTCATCCAGTGGCCTGCATCTTGGTAGTGAGTTTTAAGTTACACTTAAACTTGCACCTTTCAACTCCACATTACAGGATATTGCAGCGAGCCCTCGTGATGCTTTTCTTCCTTGTAGGAGCTGGACTTTAAACCTTCTGTCTATTTCTTGTCAAGCATAGCTGAATCCTTCCAATTAGTTTGATTGGCAGTGGTGCTATGATGTGTCAAACTGAAGTGGATTTGGATGGTGGCTCTAATTCTAAGGCCCAGCAATATCCTGGCAGCATTTTAGAGCAGTTTCAGGCTGACCTGGAGCAGCCAGCAGTTGCAGCAGCAGTGAGGGACTGCAGCAGGGTAGTGCTGTGGCTGAGTTAACACTTTAACCTGGCCATCGGGTTGATGGTGATCTTGTGATTTTAGGGGTTTGGTTCTTTTTTTCTATTCACAAGTTTTTCTGCCCCAGTGGGGAACCTCTCTTCTGCAAAGGTGTGAAGAGTGTAAAATGAAGGCAGAGGCTGCTGCTTGCCCTGTGTTTTGGGCTTCTTCAACAGAACAGATTTCAGTTGTGTCGTGTGGAGTTGTTTTCTCTTGTAGTTCTAGTGTTAAGATGTGAAATTCAAACTGTCCCTGACTTTTGCAGTGACAGCCATGTATGTTCTTCCTGGAGGAGGAATGTTCTTCCATGTTGGGCAAAGGAGACTGAAATGTCACAAAGTCAAATCTAATGTCTCTTCAAAATGCAGGTTATTGTCAATGGCTTACCTACATCTGGAATCTGATTCTTATGTCATTTTTGTCTTGTAGTTGTACTTATTGGAGACTCTGGAGTAGGCAAGAGTAACCTTCTGTCTCGATTCACTCGCAATGAGTTTAACTTGGAAAGCAAAAGCACCATTGGAGTAGAGTTTGCAACAAGAAGCATTCAAGTTGATGGGAAGACAATAAAGGCTCAGATATGGGACACAGCAGGACAGGAGCGATACCGAGCTATCACATCAGCGTAAGTGACACCTTGTGTGGCTGAAGAGAAGCTTTTGCTGAGGAGGGTCATTTTGGGCCCTTCTGATTCTTCAGACTGCAAGCAGGGGGTGTTTGTGTTTTACCATGTGGTACCCACAACCTATGGTGGAAGGAAGGTTAAACATTATGTGGATCATAAACTTGATATAGTGTGTCCCTGCACAAACTGATTTATTTCTCAGTGCTCTCATGATTTATAGCTGGAGGCATTTCAAGCCTAGAACGTAAGAGCTTTGAGGGATGCATTTCAATGCAAGCAGTTGATAAGGTGCTATCAGTGTTCACCAAGGTTTTGTCAGTGGTAACCTAAGACCAGAAACTCTCCTGCAGCAGCGAGGAAAGACTGCTCACTTTGTGTGCTTCTTTGACTGGAAAAAGCCAGCATAGCAAAAGCTGGATTTAGGTAAAGCTGGAGGTAGTTGTGGGGTGGGAAATACAGCGTGTTTCTTTTTGAATGATTTACTGTGCCTCTCTCTGGTCTGAAAGGAGACCAGCCGTGGCCCTTTGTAAAGGGAATAGATCGCATTGACGTTCTTATGATCCAGTGAGTCATTCTGAAATCTCTCTCACTACTGGCTGTGCCTGTACTGCACCCACAGCAATGGGTGGGGAGACTTTTCAGGAGTGGATCAGAGGTTAGAGGTGATAGTAGCTCCCTACAGATTGTAGAGCTTCATTTTGGGATGCAGGGTTCTCCTCACAAACGTGTGGTTTGGCTTGCCTGTAGACTCTGAGTTCTCCTGGCTGCACTGGTGGTACTGTGGCATAGCCCCACTTGGAATGTTCTGCTTCACTCTTTCAAGTCCCACATAGCCTGCATCTGGATATTTTTTTATATAGCTGTCTTAGTAACAGCTATTTTCCATTGTTGCACAGTAACTTGTCTAACTTGTCACTTTTAATCATGAAGTTTCTTGCTGGTTCTCTGAGACATCTCTTCACCCACAGGTACTACCGTGGAGCTGTAGGGGCATTATTGGTGTATGACATTGCCAAGCACCTCACCTATGAGAATGTAGAGCGATGGCTGAAAGAGCTGAGGGACCATGCTGACAGCAATATTGTAATCATGCTTGTGGGAAATAAGAGTGACCTGCGCCACCTGAGAGCAGTGCCTACAGACGAGGCCAGAGCTTTTGCAGGTCAGTGAACTCAAAGTAATTTCCTGCTGCAAACTGTCTGGGAATCTTAGCTATGCCAGTGTGCTGGTAGGAGGAAAAAGTGCTGCTGGTGATGTTCCTCAGTTCACATGCCAGGGTTTGCCTCTTTAATTCAGTCAAAAAAGAAGCCTTGTAAAACATCCGTGCTGATGTGGTTACAAGAATCAGCCAGAGGCACTTCCCTGTAAAGGAAGGATCCTTGCTTGCAGGTGGAGGATTGTCATTCCCCCATAGGGCTGTCACTGTTAAATAGCTGCCATCAGATACTAGCAGGTGGGAGGTGGAGAAACTTGATGAGGTTAAAGGAAATCCAGGAATCTTCCTCGCTTAATTCTTGAAGGTGCAACCAATTCTCACTTTCACTAATGCAGGAAGATGTACCTCAAAGTAACACTGGGCTGATCCCTGTTGGTGTTGGGTGGCGTTGCTTTCAGAGCATGTAAGGGGGAAAACCCCACGACTTCTTATACACTACACATGTGATCTGGTACAGAGGATACATGATGTACCCCTCTAATTGTAGTGTTTCTGTCCACACAGAGAAGAATGGTTTGTCATTTATTGAGACGTCTGCTTTAGACTCTACAAATGTGGAAGCAGCTTTCCAGACTATTCTGACAGGTGAGTCATCTCCTGCCTTGTGTTTCAAGGGGGAAGGGCAGAAGGCTGCTCAGATATGATGCAAATAGGCAATTCTTTGCCTATGAAGTGTTTAAAATTTTGCTAATCGTTCTTCACAGCCATAGGATTTGAAGTCCAGTTTTGAGTCACAGTTAAAAGGCCAGCCTTGAACTCAGGAATGAATCCTTGTTCACTTTGATCTGCCCCAGGTTTCTAGTCAGACTCAGCCTAGCTTACCTTTCAGTTTCCCATTTGTGTATGCTAAGGGAGTGCCCACAGGAGGGAACTGTCTCATGCAAGCAAAACACACATTGTTTATCAGAGGAGAAGCTAGTCTAGTTTGTTTCCACCTTTAATGGTGGTCATAGCATCTGGCAAGGGAAAAGGGATGAAAGAGTAGAGATCCTCCCTTTGAACAATACTACTACTGGTAGTATGAGACATAGTGACTCCTGAGCTGCAGGGTAGTTGTTGTCATTTCATTAGTAGTCCTGGCTGGACTTTTGGCCTCTGTAACATGTAGCAGGGAATGCTGTGTCTTTTACGCTTTGTGGATAAAAGTACTTCCTTTCCGTTTAAACCCTTAAGCATTTTCTTAAGAACACACCAAAAAAGACTTTTTTAGCCATACTTTTTAGCCATTACATTATTTACTGTAATAAAAGTATAAATTCTCTGGCATTTCCTGAAATGCTTAATGAGCACTCTAACACTGGAGAGAGCTGTTAGGCTGCTGGAGTATTACCTGCCTGTGTGCATCTCTTTCTTGTCTTAGTTGTAAGAGGCCTCTGCTAGGTTCTGGTTCTACTTTGTTTTTTACAGTGGGTTTCTAAGCAGTAGTGCCCCTGTCCATACACTGGCAAAACAGTGTATGTTAGATGAATAAACAGTGTGTAGGGGTGTTTGCCATCTGGCTGCATCATTCAGTGCTGGGACTAGAACTTGAGTTGGTTTCTTGCTTAGCTGAACCATGTGGTTCCCTTTTAACTTCAGTGTTGTCATTTGGTTGTAATTCAACATTGCACAAATTCACAGGGGGAAAAAGGAGAAGTTACGGTGGCTTACACATTTACTCCCTGTATGACTAACCACTAATGCCATCAGAGGGTGGATGGCTAAGGAGTGGCTCAGTGTGATGGTATCTGGGATGCCTGTTGCATTTCCTGCTTTCTTCACCTACCTAAAGTCAGTCCTATCAAAAATGCTTCTGAATTTGAGCATAGGGTTTTTTTTTCTCAGGACAAAAGGCATTTTTGTTGCTTATTTGTAACTGCTAAAACCTGAAACTTCTTCCTTTATGCATGTGCCCTTGGCTGCCCCTCTCCTCTCATTAGCACCTAGACTGAGCTTTGAGGTCAGATTCTGGCTGAAAGTGCTGTGTGTAATGTAGAACAGCCTTGCTGCTTGCTCTTCAAGTGTTCAGAGCAGATCAGAGCTCTCGTATGAAGGTTAGTGAATTAACTTTCATACTCGTTCAGCACCAGCACTAATAAAACAGAACTGGAAACGTATCGCCTCCTAAGGCAGCTGGCAGGCTGTCCTAGTCAGTGTGAGCTAGTCACTTAATGGCCCCATCCCCTCTTGGGCTGTTCTGTTCTCTGACAGTGATGCCGAAGAGGTGGAAAGTTTCCTGCAAGTTTCCCAGGGGTGTGTGTTACTTCCATAGCGCTGTGTGACGCTCGGACAATACCCTGTTGTTGCCACGGGGAAACAGTTCACCTCTTGGGCACAGGCGGGGCTGTTTCTTTCTCTCTCCTCCCATGCATCCAATAGTACTTTTTGTTCAGAAGTTATTTTGGATTCTAATTTGCAGATTATATGGGTTTTTTCCTGGTTTAGTTTTTCTGTAAGGGAGGGCAGTCTGCAACGGGAGAGCAAGCCATTAAAACTTGCCCTCGGTGGACTCCGACAGATTGTTGAGGCCGTTGTTGTTCCACAAACGTCAGTGCTCCCTGCATGTTGCCGTGATGGTATTTTGGGTGAAGAGCTCTTGGGCATGTGGACAGGCTTCTTGTTCAGGAGGGGCTGGCTCAGCTGTGCTGGAAGAAACACTTCTGCTGATTAGTGGGCATGTGGCTCGCTCCAGACAGGAGCTCCTGTTTCAGGGAGATAAAGATGAAGTAAATAATGCATTAGCAGCAGGTTGGCTCCATCTCGGCTGTGACTGGCATGTTAAGGACGAATGTTCTGCCAGTAAACTTCTTGATAACACTTCACAGCTGGCTTTCTTCTGTTAGTGATTTGCTTTGAAGGAAAGAGGGGAGCAGTCATCTGAGGAATGTGGTTTTCGGAGTGACCCTGCGGAATCCTGGATAGCCTGTATTTGGCAAGGCTGCCTCCAAGCATAGTGCCTGCGGGAGGAATGCCTGCTGTCCTTTGAAGAAGGAAGTTGGTAAAGCCATCAGGCTTTGCCACAGGCTGCACAGAGGTGGCTGACAGAAGGGGCAGGGCATGCTGCTGCGCCAGCTCTGCTAGTATTTGCAGTGCTGGGAACTGCATTGAAGAGATATCCCAGGCTG